CAAAGAAATGACATAATATTCGAAGTAATCTTATTTGGGGAAATTAACAATATGATATCGAGCGATTTCGAGCGATTTGTGAGGTTTTCGAGCGATTTTTTTCGAGCGATTTGCGATGATATCGAACGATTTGGGAGGATAAGGATATTGTAGAGTGTGTACGAGATTTTTTTCCAAATCCTGATATCTTAAATCCTTATAATGTCCATAATACACTCCTCCACAAAATTATAGCCCCACCTATATTTTTCTCGTTTTTCATACTGTATCAGTTGTTTTTATTTTCATATATATTATATAATTTGTGGAACGCTATAATTTTGTGGAACGCTAAAATTCGAGATTTGCTATAACTTTTGAAAAAATTGATTTGAAAACAAAATTTTTTTATAAACCTAATCTTAGACCCCTATTTATCATTACAAAAAAGTCTGAAAATAAAAACAACGGATACAGTATGAAAATCGAGAAAAATATAGGTGGGGCTATAATTTTGTGGAGGAGTGTATATCTTACTTATATGCAATGAGTAAATATTAATTTATTAAAGTTAAAAACAAAATCCATCTTTTGGAAAATAACAATTTATTAAAACAATATGAAAATTGAAAATATCACTGTTATATTATAGAGGAGAATTAGCTGACATTTTAGAAATGATTAATGATCTGTTAAATTTAAAAGTTAAATTCCAGGTGAAAATTTTATTTTTAAATTTTAATCTGATCCAATTGTTACTTATTGCCAATACCCTTCTTCAGTAATGATATGGGTCGGTAATTTTAAGTATAGTCTTCAGTCAGTCAGACTTATATTTTTGATTCACCTTCATTTTAGTATTACTCTTGTGATAAAGCGCATTTGTTAATTAGTTTTAAACGCGACAAATAGATAACAAAATCCAAATGTAATTTATTAATTTATATTTAAATTTTTATGTATTTATAGCGATATATAACAAATATATATTCGAAAATTATAAAAAATCCTGATAATGTTCCAGCTGATCATATTGAAAAAGTAAATTTATAAATAATAATTTAGGTTATTATTTTATTAAATTTTAGATAAAAGAATATCGTAAAATAATTAAATTGAAAACTAAACAAATTAAAAGATATGAGGTAAAAAAGCAAAATAATTTGAACAAACAAAAGAAAATTGGGGATAATCTTCGTAAAATTTATAATCATGTTAAAGAAGCTTATATTTCAACACAAAATGGAACAAATATTAGCGAAATAGCTAAGGCTAAAAGGTCTAAACGCAAACGTCGAAACTATCGGTATATTTAACTGAGTAGCAACAAAAATTTTGATTTAGAAAATAACAAAGTTATTTGTTTTAAATCACGGACATTTTATTTTAGAATTTAATTTGATTTATACACGTGCAGTAAGCATTAAGCTTAGTTGATTTGTTATGTATAGAGTTTGCAAAAGTTTGGCCACCGGGCAGGATTCGAACCTGCGACCACATGCTCTTCCTTTTTAGATCGTTTAACCCCCGCCTAAGCGTTTTAAATGCTCCTAGGTGAATCATCCTTACAGTATCTTTAGTTGATTTGTTTTATGTTCATATAATTAATTAATTCATTAAATTATTTATATATATTTTTAAAATTTTTATTTCTAATATTTATTAAGTCAAATGGAATCTAAGACAAAAGAAACTACATATGAAGATAAAAATTTAGAAGTAAAAGATAAACAAAAGCATCATAATTATATGCTTCGTTCAGGAAATAATGTGTAGATATTTGAATGAATTTCTTTCTGAAATATTAGTTCTACAATGTTTTCCTGAATTTTTATTTTTTTTTGCATTCTTTTGAATTATTGACAAATATGCAAAACTTTATTTGAACTGGGGAATTTTTAAAAGGAATTTGCCGCTTTATTTATATGACTATTACACCACTCTGCATGACAATTAAAAAACAAGTAAAGTCTATTATTTAGGTATATGTATTTTTGGTACTTTTCTGTTTTGTGACCGCACTTTAAAAATGTTTAAAAATGGTCATGAATATGGACAAACTATATGTCATTCGACTCAGCTCTTCGAGCTGAGTCGAATGACATCATAATCAGCTCGAGACCTTGATTCTGAGCCAAGATAAACGGGTTCAAAATGGTCAACATAAAACTATGGGGCGTAGGCAAGGCGCTTGTGCAAAACCCCGCGCTTCGCGCGGGGTTTTGCGTCACGCGCCTTGCGGGGAGTCTACGGTCGCTGGGTCTGGGCTCGTAACATCATCCTATTCCTATCATTTTGAGGCGGGGATCTCATGCTTCCTCCGGAGCAGCAGAACCTCCACAGATGCGATAGGTAAGGAGATAATACAAACGATCATAACTTTGTCCATTCTTGTTCCATCGCGCTGATTTTTGTGCCATTCGACTCATCTCGTCGAGTTCTTTCAAATGACATACATTTTGGTCATATTCATGATTTTTGACCATTTTGATCATTGTATGTTTTGACCATTTCGAGCCCGTACCATTTCGAACCCCACATGATTTTGGTGTCATTCGACTCAGCTCGAAGAGCTCTTTCGAATGACATATAATTTGTCCATATTCATGACCCTTTTTAAATATTTTTAAAGTGTGGTCACAAAACAGAAAAGTACCGTATTTTTCTTCAACAATGATAATTTTTTCCAATAATGAAATTAAATTTTATTAGAAATATTTATTTTCTATATTGTAACCTTGGTTGTTCAAACAATATTTACTAATTTACATGAATTTTATATTCATTTACATCGCAAGCATTTTATTATTACAAGTTAATTTGAAATAAAATTTTTAAATCTTAGTTAAATATTTTTTGAAATACCTGAATAATTCTTTTTAATTATAAATTATATTATTACAAATCATCGTAAAATCATCGTGATCCTATGAAGATTATCATACCCTATTTCTAAACTTCAATTTTAACACATTAAGCTTTTAATCTCCCTAATTGTTTAAAATTACATTTAATACCTCCATATACACTTAAACCCCCCCCCCATTAATCCCTCCTAATTCCCTTAAGTCACACCAAATCCCTTTAATTCTTCAAATCCTTTTAAATCCCAATTAATAACTTCAATTAAATCCCTCCAGATTTGTAAAACCTTTTATCTCTACAAATTAAGAAATCGGATATTTGAAAAAATTTCCACAATCTAAATTGTTATGTCAGACGGCTTGGTATTTTAAATTTTATTATCCTAGTCTTTCAAGTTTGAGGATTTAATCTAACTTAATTATTCGAAAAACTAACAGAATTTATTTAAAGTTTAATAACGAACTTATTTACAATTGAATATAGTTTAGGTTTTGTTCAATTGAAGATAGATTTAATGGGAAACAAACAAATGTTAATATGTTATAAACAGAGGTGTTTCGAAATTTCGATTTTCGATTTTCGTTTTTCGATTTTCGAGGTTTTTTTCCTTTCGATTTTCGATTTCCGATTTTCGAAATTTTGTGATATTTTCGATTTTCGATTTCCGAATTTTTGAAAAAATTTGAATTTTTAGCGCCAAAAATGAGGAATTCTGACTTAACGGCCATCATAAATTTAAAAAATTTTCGCCTGCGGCGCAGAGAAAGGAAGATTTCTGGCTTAAGGTTCTTCCAAAATTCTCAAAATTTTGGCCTGCGGCGCTGAAAATGTAAGAATTCTGGTGACTTGGTCTTCCAAAATTCTCAAAATTTTCGCCTGCGGCGCAGAAAAAGGAAGACCATCATAAATCTAAAAAATTTTCGCCTGCGGCGCTGAAAAGAGACGATTTGTGGCTTAAAGATCTTCAAAAATGCTAAAAATTTTCGCCTGCGGCGCTAATTTGAGAAAGCCCTGATCTACTAACAGTATTATGCTTCGGCTCCGGTATATTGGAGTATTTGCTTGAATTAAAGTGGATTTGGAAGTCCCCTCCCCCCACCATGCCAGAACCCTATTCCAAGTACCGCCCAACTCTATGAGTAAAGCGGCCTAGCTCTGTACTATATCAGGGGATTTTACTCAAATCCTCCATTATCCCTTTTAATCCACACAAATCTTATGATAAATTATTAATCTTTAACTTTCCACCATGAGTCTGGGAACAACAAGAAGCGGTTCAGAAAATGAACGGAGCCAAGATTTCTGATTTTTTATTAAATTTTTTTTCGATTTTCGTTTTTCGATTTTCGATTTTCGAGGTTATTTTTCTTTCGATTTCCGATTTTCGATTTCGAAGATTTTGAAAAGTATTTTCGATTTCGATATTTTTGGATTTTTTTCGATTTTCGATTTCCGATTTTCGAAGATTTTTTTGTTTAAAAACACCTCTGGTTATAAAGAGGAAAAATAACATTATTTCAAAATAAAAATCAAAATAGTTGATTAACACCGGGGCTAATAAAGATAAAATTCTCAAAAATTTTAAATATTTTTAAATAAAAAAATAATATGTAAAATATCTCTGAATTTTTAATTTCATTAAAAATACATTAAGTACAAAAATTTGTTTATTTATAGATGTTTCAAAATGCTAACTTTTTGAAAAATTTTATCTTTATTGGCCACCATATTAGCATGTTTCCCAATATGAATTAAGATTGCACTCCGAACGCTCAGGGGCGGGTGTGTCGGGATACCGGGTTTTTGAATTATTTTGGAGCGGAGTTTGGGTCGGGGGAGCAAAATAAATATTGTCGAGGTAAGGGGTTTTAATCTAAAAAATTTTTAAGAAAAAATAATCAAAAATACTGAGAAAACCAGAAGCTTTTTCGTGTCGGGTGTTGGGAATTCACTTTTTCGGGCCGGGGTTCACGTCGCGGAAATTTTGAAAAAATCTTTAGGGGACGGCGTCGGAGTGCATAGCTAATATGAATCCAACATAAATTAAAATAAATTGAAGGAATTAAATAAACAATATTTTATAAAATTTTATATATTTTAATTATGTAAAATTGCTCGAATTAAATAAAGAATGTCATGATAGATTTTTTATTTAATTATTGTGGATGTATTCTTAAACTATTAAAAAAAGCTTTTCGATATGGTGTGTTTGTTAAAATACAAATAATTGGGTTAAATACAGGTGTTAGATGAAAAGAAATACCAAATAATACTCGAAACATATTCGTTGTATTGTTGTTTGTCTTTGAGATACTTAAAATAAATATAATTCCTGCCTGGTTAATAAATGGTACAACAACCTAAAAAGTGAATTTCAAAATAATATTTATAATTTTAACTGAAATTGCTTTCTTAGATGAATTTTATATTAGTGACTATCAAACAAACTTGCGTAATATTTTATTATACCAAATTCACTCTATTACCCGTGGCATACAGATTCATTTCATATATCCCCCCTCCTCACCCCACCGCTATAAGATTCTAGGATTAATTTTTCTTTTATTCTTTTTTGCCTACGAATGGTCAAATTTTAGCCCCTGTTACAGATAAAATTAGTGGTACAAATACCCAACGTTGGCAATAGTTTTTGATTATAGAAGTTGGGGTTGAGGTTGAGGAAAGTAACGTTGAATTGAGGAAGGTTGGAGGTCTGCCTGCCTATTATTTACATTCTACAGGAAAAACGCCTTAAAACTAACCATAATAAGCATAACTTTTGTTATAAGCTTGTTCAATTTTTTTACATTTCCATTAAAATTTGAGTTTAAATTGACAAATCTAATCATTTTGAATGCACAAACAAGTGCTATTAAATAAGGTAGTATTTGAAAAATATCTACAGGTAAACTTGTCAAAAGTGTTATCTATTTTATTGAATATAATTTTTAACAAATATTCTAAATATGTAGAAATTACCTTTTCCATTTTATATTGAATAAACGGCCAAGTCATGTTAAAATTATCAAAATCTTTAATACCTCCCTTTGAATAGGGCATAAAAAACAAAATTTCATCAATTATATATAACAACGCCAAGATTAAAGTAATCAACACCATAAATAAATAACGACGGAAATTAATTTTCATATTTCTATTGAGATTTAAGAAAAGGTAATAGTAGCGTTTATTACCCCTTTTTTCTGTAACTTTTTGCGCATCTATTTTTTTCTTATTGCGAATTAAACATTCGAACCAGAGATGGGCGAAAATAGAATTTTGCCCTCAACTAAACGAAAACGAAACAAATAAAATCATCAATTTACGAAACGAAACGAAAAAAGCCAAATTATTAATCCTTGAATTTTAATGCTAGATAAGAAGTTTTTTGAGGTTGTACATGTCTAAATGTATCAAATATCATCAATATCTTCTGTATCTTCTGATATTCCCGATTTATGAGGTAAGAAAGATATAGGGCCATTGGAGGGATTCAAGGGAGTTGTATGGGCATTATTAAGGGATCACTTGGGATTTGGGTGAGAAGTAGTGTTGCACCGAAACCGCAAATTTGGCTGGAACCGGGACTTCCGACGCAACACTAGTGAGAAGCCAGCTTTCATCAATTTTTTGCGCCGCAGGCAAAAATTTTGATATTTTTGGAAGATCCTTAAGCCAAAAATCTTCCTTTTTGCGTCGCAGGCAAAAATTTTGCTACTACAAATCCTATTATATCCGCCGAACTCCCTGATCTTCCTTTTGATTTCCGGATCTGCATTAAAATTCCTTGATATCCTCTTTGATTTTCTGGTATCTATACCCAATTACTAAATTTTGTTTGATAAATAGAAATTTTTACGAGTGTGACCCAAGAATTATGTTGGACAATTTATCGTTATTTGAATTGGAGGTGTACAATGGAGAGATGAATGGAGAGATAGCTCTTTCAAATTATATATTAGAAATCATAGATAAAGCAAAAAAGCTCAAAATGGTCAGGGATTTCGTAAAAAGGGGGGAATAAACGCTACTATTATAGAAGAAAATATTTTATACATATTATTATGTATTTTTATTCAATTACCTATTCAAAATTAAATATCTATAAATAAATTGCAAGCACAATCCATGAACATTTAAGATACCGATATATTTCCACAACGTTGTAAAAATATAAGATATAAATGGATTAAAATTTTCCTTCATCAAACTAAGTAAAATTCCAATAGGGAATACAGCAATTGTATTCCCTTCTGTATCAGGCAAATAATACTATAATATGTATATTAAATTAAATAGGTTGTTAAGTAAGTTTTGAGCCCACTCCTATTATTTTGTAGGCTTGAAAATTCATAGCTCAATTTTCTGTTTTTCAATTTACTTAATATTTTTGAAAGTTCTTGATTTTCTTTAAGTTTAAAAATTTTTTCCTTATTTAAAAATTTATAATAATTTTTAAAATCTTAATGGAAAATATGATATTCGTGCTACACAAATACAATTGTGATCTTGGGCATTCGGCGCAGGAATCATGTCATAATATAAACACAGCAAATGAAGGGGATATGTGTGGTTTCAATTAAATTTGGGTGGATTAAATCCTGATTAAATTATTTGTTTTCTGATTCATTATTTAATTTTATATTTCAAGGTTATATTATTTTTACCACTAAAATAAACATTTGAACAGTCAACATTAAAATATCCAAAACAGCATTTTGTATCAGAACTTGACTGTGTGTTTTCATTTCATTTGGTGTTTTGAAAATAATTAAAATAATCAGAATAAAATTTAAAGGATAACCAATTAATAAACAAACAAAATAATCAAATTTAAATAAAATATCAAGCAGAACTGGTGACATTTTTAGGTGTTTATTTTCTTTAATTCTAATTGTAAGTAATTCTTTCACTAGTTAACGACGAATTTAAATATACTTATTAAAAAGTTTCACACTAATAATTTCTAGACACTAAAAAATATTTTTGAGAAAACTTTGTTTATATTTAATATTTTTTAATTGCTTTGTAAGTTTTGTTGAGAAAATTACTTTAGAAAGTACAAAAATGCCATAATTTAATTCTACCTGTTTTATGTCTCTAAATGTGAATAGTTATAATTTAAATAATAAGTATATAATTATTATAACTATTATTAAAGTATATATATATTATTTCAATTATAGCCCTTGAAACTGTTTTATGTCCCCACATCGAGAGCAGAGGTAAATCGGAAATGACGAAGATGCAGGCAAAATTTAAGGATTGGCAAATAAACCGCAGGCGAAATTTTAAGGATTCTGGAAATTGGAAGCCAGATTCCAATTTTTAAGGTTGGGGGTTACCTTTGTTAAATAAGATTTTATAAAAAATTAGATAAAAAAATTTATTCTAAGCATAATTTTATAATTAAAAAATTTTTTGAAAGTGAATAAACTCACTTTGACAATCATTTAAAAAATATTTTCATTTTTTAAAGTTTACTGTCTTTTTAATTATTTTTTTTTTCATTTTTATCCCATTATATACAAAATAAAGAATACAAAATAGACTTTTAATGCTTGAATTGTGTAAACAATTATTTTACATGGTTAATTGGAATAATGGAAAATAAAAGTGCAAACTTGAGCTAAAAACTATTTGCTTTATAAAGACCATATTTAGTTCAAATTAAAATCAACTAATGAGTAAATTTATTTTTAAAGTACGGTAGTTTCATAATCTTCCCATCTCTAGCAAAAAAACATTAGTTATTAGAATAATTGTCATCTCGAACAGAGTTGCGTCGTGTTGACGAAATACGATTCAGAATTAATTTTTAAACTACGATTTACGAGTTAAGAAAAAAATTTTCGATTATGACGCAACATTTATATTAACCGTATATGTACATATAATTATTTGTCATATTTTTTATTTTATTTTTTCCTTTACTTTTATCAATATTCTTTTCTATAATGTTAATAAATTATCAAATAATAATTGTAGTTTATAATTGTTTTTTGAATAATCATTTGAAATTAATTTGGTGTGAAATTGGTGTGTTAACTAATTAACATTAACCATTGGTGTCAGAAAGGCGAAAGAAAAAAATCAGAAAATTTTCGGTTTTTTAATCAAATTTTCTCATTCTTTTCTCTTTCTTTCATTATCTTTCACATATCTGTTTTTAAGGGTGAATAAAGATTCTGTCTTCCCAAAAAAAGCGATCTCGAAAGGAAAATGTCCAAAAAAGGCGAAAATTGGCAAAACGAAAAAGACCGCAAAGACAAGACTTATAACTTTAATATTAATAGTAAAATATTAAATTTTAATTAAACAAACTACAAAATACATTTTTAGTAATTTAAGATAAATTTAAACAATAAAACAAACAATAAACTAGCAAATTTTGTTATAAAATAGAGGAAAATTGATTGTTATATTTATATTTTATTTTAATGTTTTTATTAGAGTAAGTCGAGTACCGAGTAATTGGGAAAAAACCGAGCTCAAGTAATCCGAGTTTGAAAAACCCGAGTTCGAGCTCGAGCTCAACTTTTTAGGTCGAGTTCGAGTTCGAGTAGTCGAGTAATCGAGTATTTTTTATAAAACAGTATTTTTAAATAATTTCGATAAAAACAATACTTTTACTAAAGGATATTCATCCTCAGTGTCGTGTTTTGAGCATTTGTTGGCAGTATTGCGTTAGATCTTCATCCAAATCCCATTTATTTTCTTAATCCGACTATATCCCTCTTAATCCGCAGAAATTCCATGATATGCACACGATCAATGTTGAATCCGGGCTCCGGGTTGAACATCAATGGATAATATTATTTCGGGGATTCGTGTAGATTGAGGATATCGAATGATAACAGAGGAATGAGATGGATATCAAGGGATTAAGCGGATTTAGGCCGATTATAGTGAGATTTGGGTGTATTAGAAGCAAAATCTTGGAAATTCGGGAGATTAATTGGGATATCGTCGGATTAGATAGATTGTCGAAAGGTGATCATGAGATACATTGCTCTATCCCTCTCTTTTCGCGCCGTTGGCTTAAATTTTGAGAATTTCTGAAGGTCAAGTAGGAACACCAATTTTCAGAAGGCCAGATACCTCGCTATTCTTTTAGATCCCTTGAAATATCCGGATATCACTAAAATCCACTTAGCTTGATTGAATCCTCCGATATACACAAATCTTCCTTTTTTAGCGCCGCAGCCAAAAATTTCGAGAATTTTGGAAGGCCAGAGAGCAAAATTTCTTCTTTTAGCGCCGCAGGCGAAAATTTTGAGAAATTTGGAAGACCAACACACTAGATTTCTTCCTTTTTCATCGCCGCGGGCGAAAATTTTGAGAATTTTGGAAGATCCTTAAGCTAAAAATCTTCCTTTTTGCGCCGCAAATGGGGGCATAAAAATACTCGGTTTTAACCGAGTACGTCGAGTAGGAAGTTTCCGAGCTCGAGTAATCCGAGTATTATGATCCCGAGTTCCGAGTCGAGTAATTACGCAAAAAACCCGAGCGGTCGAGTCGAGTAACTCGAACTCGCTCGAGCTCGACTTACTCTAGTTTTTATTATTAATTTAAGCTATCTTCTAATTTTAAAAAGAATTTACCATAAATATTAATAGTATCTCAGGCAGGGGTGCTCGCAATTGTGGACTACGGATTTCGTAAATTGCTTGGTTTTTTGACTTGAGGACTGCGGCCGCTGATTTTGAAATAAAAATTGCGGACTGTGGCTGCTGAAAATTTTTTTCATTTGCGAACACCCCTGATCTCAGAATAAATTAATATTTTTTTTCTCCTAATTTTTACTTAAAAATATTTTATTTTAGATAAGGAAAAAATGTTCTTATTAATATTATTATCAATAACATTATCTTCTCTATTATTATTTTGGACTGCAAAAAGGAAAAGTAATTATTGGAAAAATAGAGGAATTCCAGGACCAGAACCTCTTCCAATTAAAGGAAATATAGATTCAATTTTTGGAAATAAAAATCCTTTTTCATTACAATTATTTAATTGGAGTAAAAAATATGGAAGAATTTATGGAATTAAACATGGATGGAATAATGTTTTAGTTGTTAGTGAACCAAGAATGGTTAAAGAATTACTTGTTGAAAAATTTGAATATTTTCATGGAAGATTTGTAAATT